AGCGAGCGCCCTGTCTGCCCTCTGGAACCTAGCGAACCTATCCGGCGTGACCTCCGCGCGCCGCTCCTCCGCGAGGCAGTCGGCCGGGTCCTCCCCCTCCTCCTGCTCCTCCTCCTCCTCCTCGCAGGCCTCCTCCTCCTCCGCCGCGCGCTGCAGCAGCTCCTGCCGCCGCGCCTCGAGCGCCCGCGCCTCCGCCCCCCTGCGCTCGGCATCGCGGCGCGCGGCGGCCGCCTGCGCGTACTTCTGCCGCAGCGCGTCGAAAGTCGCAGGCGCGTTGAACGACGCCGCGCGGCCCTTCCGCTCGTGGTTCCCGATGAAGTTCGCCAGCTTGCGCTCCTCGTCATCCTCCGCTTTCTCCACCGGCATCCTCTGGTTCTTCTCGCACCACGCCTCGAGCGCCTGGGCCTGGATGAGATCCGCGTCCAGCGCCGCCTCCAGCTGCGCGCGCCAGCCCTCGCCCAGGCCCTCGACGCCGCGCGCTCGGACGTGCTCCACCCAACGCGCGAGCAGATGCTCCCGCGGATCGTCGTCGTGACCGAAGCGCTGCGGCCCTCGCCCGTGCCTCTCCACGAACGCCTTCACCTCGAGCACGCGCTCCTGCGCCGTCCGCCGCTGCCACGCACGCCTGTCCACCATGCGATCGAACCTCTCCTTGTTGTCATCATCCAGCTCGTGGTGGCCTTTGCAGACATTGTGGATCCAACGCGCGAGCTTTGCCTCCTCCTCGTCTTCGGCCCCTTGCTTCGGCAGCTCGTCGAGCACCTCCACGTGCTCCCCGATGCGGTCCAGCATCGCGCGGGCGCGCGCACGCCTCTCCTCCCGCCGGTCCACGAGCCCGTCGAACCGCGCGCGCTGCTCGGGGGTCAGCGCCACCTCCCCAGAACTCACGTGATGAACCCATTTTCCGAGCGCGGACTCACGCTGGTGCGGCAAACGGCCGTGCTCCTCCACGTGCCTCGCCAGCTCGCCCAGCATCTCCTCCGAGTGGTCCCGCGATCGCGCCTCCGCGCCAGCATGCTGGACACCGCTCATGTCGATGCCCAGGTGCGCCGCGAGCGCAGCCCTGTGCGCATCGGCCTCCAATCGCAGCCGCTTCTGTTGCTGAACATTCCATTGCCGCGAGGGTGGCGCGTCTTCGTCGCCCTCCGCCCGCAATCGCGTTGCCAGCTCATGCAACTCATTGCGAGTCATGCGCGCCAACACCTCCGCGTCCACACCGTCGCGCGCGCCCCCGCGCGCGCCCTGCGCCCCTGCGGCAATCTGCTCCACGCGGCGCTTCGGCACCCCGCCCCTCAGCGCGCCACGCCCCGCGCCCGCTCGCGGCGACCGCGACGCCGAGCTCGAACGCCCGCGAGCGACGACGCGACACCACGGCGCGCTCTCGGCTTCCCCCCACTCTACATCTCCAGAACCCACCCACTCCTCCACCGCGCACACGTGGCCGCCGTCGAGCCACAGCAGAGCACCAGCGCAGAAGCCCGCTGCGTCCCCCAGCGCCCACGCCACACGCCTTCCTTCCTGCGCTTCGAACGCTCCCGCAGATTCCGCAGAGAACACGCGCAAGCGCAGGAAGCGGGGGCGCAAGTGCTGGACCACGACCTCCAGATTCCAGCGCTGCAACAGCGACCCACAAGCGCCCGAACCCTCGTGGTTCTTACACGCGCGACCGAAATGCCGCGCTGCGTCGCCCCCCACGAGATCAGCCACTGCGTTCTGCAGGCACTTCCCACGCCACTCGACGGGAGAACTGGCGCGCGCGCGGCGGCTCCCCCGCCCGCGTCCGCCGCGCGGTCGCGCGCGCGGTGAGCGCGCACCACCGAACGCAGTCGCAGACATAGGCACGGCGCCTATCTGCGTCGCCCCGCTGAGCCCCGCCGGACACGCTCCGAGAGCGACCATGGCGCAGGCAGCGCACACGGCCAAGTCCCCGACAAAGCTCCTGGACTCCTGCGCGGTCGGGCACTTTGCCCCGCCGATGCCCACGCCCCGCGAAAAACGGCACGCAGAGACGCGGCGGCGGCCACACGTCCGCGCCGAGAGCCCGTTTAGCGCGCAGCAGAACCACCTGGCAGCAACGACCGCGGCTACACGATCGGCCAGCTCGGGCGCGTCCAGAAGCTCCCGCGCAAACACATCCTGGTGCCGCCGCCAGCGCGCCACCGCGATCTTCCTCGTCATCACCACTCTGCTGCCTCGCTGTGGTGGGCACACGCCGAGAGCAACGAGAACGCAGGCAGCGCGCAGGGCAGCATCGCCCGCAGTCCACGACACTATGTTCATTTGCATCGCCGCCGGATCTGGCGCGCGGCTTGCCCCGTCGCGGACGCGGGCAGCCTTGAGGGAAGTGCCGCGGCTCACGCCTCGCGCCAACCACGACCTGCCCTCGCAGAGGGTACGCGCCGCTCAAAACGTGGGGCGTTTCTGCGAGTCGCGCCGGACGCAGAAGCCTTTACGACGCGCACGGCGTTCCAGATGCTCTGCCTCCGACAAAGCGCCATCAAACAGCTGCCGCGCGTCGTCCGAAAGAGAACATTTTCGCGACATAGTCTGCGAACCCTTGCAACTTTCCACGGCGAGGAAATTAAGCTTGGAGTTCGTGCTTTCCGCGCGTGAGTCTCCGTCGACCTCCTCGCGAGCAGCGTTCGCGGCGAGGTCGCCCGCGTGGCAGTCGTTTTCGCCCTCCCCTGAAATCGCCTAGGTTTGGCCTGCTTCCCCGCCAGTGGCTGGGGCCAAACGCGAAGCAGCGGCGCAGCCAACACCATCCCGTGCAGTAGATCCCCTCGACGCTGCTTTCCCCGGGTGCGTTGAGCCACTCTTGTTGAGCCAAGCGTTTACTCGCGCGCATTCAATCTGCAATAACGTGCGACACGGAAGGTAAAGTGATTTGGGTCGTAGCGCGCCCTATCTACAATATATAATTGAAAATGGTTCAACTGGCTACAGCACAATGCATCGCATCGCTTATCAGCGCGTCGAATAACAAAGTAAACCGCATGTCACCGCATAACAAATCACCGCGCAACGCCACGCAGCAGAGCACAATCTAACATATGGCATCATACCATACAATACCGCGACACACCATAGCATTACATACTACACTATGTCAACACGTAGCAAGCAATTGACAAGCAATCGCAAAGTACTGCTTTATACGGCATCACCGAATCGCGTACACTGCCCTGGACTATCATCGGACATCATCGCGTCGCATCGCATAGCAAAACATATAATGGCGTGGATGCCAGAACTCCCCATCGCTTTGCAATGCGTATCACCGCAATACACCGCATATCATACCATACCACAACAACAACGGGACAACTGGCCTTAAATAGCGAACCTGGTTGACTGGCAGCAGAACTACCGACCACAACAAAAACCTGAATGTGATGGCCAGCTGGTGGTGGACCAGTCAGTTGGGCGAAGGGGAGGGGGGGGTCTGGCTCCGGACCGCTGCTTCCTGCGACTGTGTGGGGCAGTGCGCCCTACGGGGGAGACTCCACCTGCTCGAAACAGGCGATTGAAAAAAAAACAGCGAAGATCTTCTCCACTGCGGGGGAGGGAGGCTGGGGCGGGGGCCCGCGCCGATCGGCAAAACAGTGATTAAAAAAAACGATCACCACAGGGAGCTCGTTTGTTCGTCTGGCGCGCGGGGCCCGCGGGCGTGGCGCCTGCGTTGGGTCGGTGGGCCTGCGGGGGGACCCGAGGGCCTGCCCGGGCCGTGGCCCCCGAGGGGGGCCCTGAGCCGCAGGGCGGTGAGCGGAGGGCACTGGCTTGTGGAGAGGAGGAAACAGCACAAGATACAGTCATCGGCCTGACCAAAGGAACGATGAATAAGGAACGACGCCCCTTTTCCCTTCAAGGAATAACGCGTAAGGAAAGACACAGAATGCATGGCGCGCAAGGAGCGAGGAATCACGCATGCAAGCCGGAGGAACGACCGAGCCCCTTTTGGAAAGTAAATGTTCCATATCCAAGCCGCTCACTGCATTGCGCAACGTAGATTGCACCACAGACTTTGCTTGACACAGGGCGCACAGCACAGATTGCGCACCACATCGTTTGCACGACACTGACCGAACCACAAATAGTGTGCCAACTAGGTTACACTAAATATACATGTATACCTACGTACATATATACATACATACATACATACATGCATCCATCCATACATACATACATACATGCATACATACATGCATGCATACATACACACACATACATGCATACATGCATAGGTACATGCATGCATGCATGCGTATAGGTACATGCATGCACAGGTACATGCATAGGTACATACAGACATACATGCTTACATTTTGCACATAATATGTTGCGACACAGGTGCTGCACCACGAAGAGTGCACCATATCTATTGTTCCACCTATTCACATTGGACATCATACAGTGGTCCACATAGGTTGCACCACATTACAAAGCCCAGCAAATATTGCACAACTTATACTGCACAACGTATGTTGCACAACCTAGATCCTGCAACAAATATTGCACAAAGCAGTTTGCACCACATATATGTCAACGCATGCATGTGTCCACCTACATTGCGCAGCATAGACTGTACCATACACACGTCTATATGTCTATATTATATATATATGAACTGCGCCGCAGATACTGCATCATACAGATTGTGCAGCATCGATTGTACAACATATATTGCTAGAAACACAATGTGTGGGGTCCACGCTGGCTAACATTTTTACACAACCCTCACCTGGATTCTGCGCAAACGCCGCGCGCCTGTTTTCATGGTAAAGAAAAGGTCTGCGGACCCCATTATTTCTCGAGGATCCGACATGGGGGCTGTACTTGCCCTGAGCGGGCACGCAGAAAACGTATTCATTCGACTGAACATTCGGGGATGGACAAAACCCTCTTTAGCAAAACGTGGCTCAGTGAAAACAACCTCGGGCCCAAACCTGGCGGGCGCAAGCCTGGCAAATGACGGCCGCAGAACTCTCTCGAGAACCGAAAGCGGACAACTCACTAATCTACGTGTCAGGGTGGGGGTTCTGTCCACCCCCTGAAAATGGCACTTCGTTTCGTTTTGCATCGAGGCGAAATCCGCTGAGCTGGCCCACCTCAATCGAGGGACCAGGAAACAGACTTGCAAACTTGAAGAGAATCCTGGACCCACGCCCATTCCTTAAGAATCAAAAAGGACGGGGGGGAGGGAGGGACGAGGGACCAGGTCTGCCGCAGGCAGCTGGATAGACCATGATAGTGACGTTGCCATTTGTGCCGGCCAAGGCACCTCCGCCAGTCACTAAATCGACACCCGAATAGACCACGGATGGATGCGCCGCGAATCCGGAACCGCCGCCGCCGCTGCCATGCCAAAAAGGCTGCCCTCCTCCGGCCCCGCCTCCGTAGTAGCCGCCACCGCCGCCGCCGCCGCTCCAGCCCGAGCTTGAATTCCCATCACCGCCTTTGTATTTCCCGCCAGCGCCTCCCGTCATCTTGGTGCCGACTCCCCCCGCGCCCCCGGCGGAAGCCGTGCCACCCTGGCCGGAGAGCAGAGAAGAATCGCAGTCGGTCCCGCCAGCCTCTCCGCCACCGCTCCCTCCTTGGAGGAACCCAACATCTGCACAGACAGTCTAAACTGTTGGAGGTCCGCGCGGAATGCGTGGGTCGGCGCCGGGCCCCCCACCCCCTCCCCCGGCGCGCAGCACGAGCCAGGGGCAGCGCCGGAGCTGCCGCGAGGGGGCTCAGCGCCGACCAAAAGAAATCCGCACGGACATCCGAAGGTCCATGTTTATGCAGTTGAGGTGTTCTTCGACTCCTGGCCCCTTGCACTCGACGGATGCCACCCACTTACCCGAGCCACCTCCGCCCCCACCCGCAGTGAGGATGTCCTCACCATCGAGCCTGACGCTCGAACGGCCACCCCCGCTTCCGGCTGTGTTGTAACCGTCGCAGGCAGACCTGCCGCCGCCGCCGAAGGCGTTGTGGTAGCAAGGGTCTGGAGATGACCCGTCTCCCCAAGTGGCGCCGGCTTCCCCGACGACGACCGTCAAGCGGTCCGTGCCCGCAGGGACGATGATGACGGCCTCGGCGTAACCTCCAACCCCACCTTCCGTTCCTGATCTCAAAAAGTTCCCTCCGCCAGCACCGTAGGCCTTCACCAGGAACTGAGTGTGGCCCTGCGTGTAATAATACTGGTCGCTCCCAGTGAAGGTGAAGACCTGTTCCGACGAGAGCATGTCTGCATGATGGTACTTGGAAGCATTTGCTAGCGATGCCACTGTAGCCGTCGCAGCAATATCCGAACCAGAATGGAGAGAAATTACGGTTGGCACCCTGTGGACAAACAGCCCCACCAGGCACGTGAGCCAATGTGCCTTCTGGTTAGTCATGAGCCTCGCGCTGACTGTGCGCTACCGAACGAGGAGGCGTGAAGGTAAAGTGGTGATCAAATGGACTCAGTCTTGGGCCATACACAACACGGTGTGATACAGACAATGGTGATAATGGCAACTGTTACGTGTGCATCTAAACACAGCTACGCGGCAAACGTTAGGCCATGTGCGGGGCCCCCAGGGGCGATCTGACAAAACCCTCCAGATTGCAATTCGGGACAACCCGCCTGGAACCCCCACTTTGTTTCTTTGTTTCGGTGTGTGTGTGTTGTTTCTACAGTTGCTTCTTATGTCTATCTGCAGGTTTTCGGGCTTTTCTGGTGGGAAAAACTCCCGAACAAACACCCAACTCCAGGCTTTCTCCTGTGATGTTTGCGGAGGCTTCGGGGGCCGCACAATTAAACACGATCCTACTTCTAAAAGAACGCCCAACAACAAGCACAACAGAACCCAACTCTAAGATGTGTCCAAACAGTTGTTCGAGGGTTCTCTGGCCCCTCCACGCTCCCGGCCGCAGGCTGCCTGTAGACTGCCGCAGGCTCGTGCCGCGCCGGCTTCGGCACTGGTTCCGGGCACCGCGGGGACCGATCGGCCTCGTGAACGCTCGGCCGTGTCCGGAACATCAGATCGTTCAACATCGACCGACTCTGGATCGCTGGCGGCGTTAGACGCTGAACGCCGGCGGCGTCGGGGTCGCCGCCGGTCGACGCGACGCGAACCTACCGTGGGGATCCGTGGATCTGGCGCGCGGGCGCCAGGTCCACGGATCGGGAGAACGACCCCCCGAGACATGGCGCCGATGCTGCCTGCTTCGGCGACGGAGCGTGCCGCTTCTGCACGGAAAGGGGGCCCGTCGCTGATCCATGCTCCGTGATCCGTGTGCGCCTCCCCTCGATTGGGTGGCGACATCCGAGCCCTATCCTCACCAATCCTCGACTCTCCTGAATCGACGGGAGGCGGGGGTAGGGGTGGGACTTCGTTACGCATCCGACGAACTCGGAACGTTGCCCCCGCCGCCCAGCGAGTTGACTGAATCGCTCACCGGCGAGGGCAGGGCCCGGATTACGACGCCGATCAAAGGCGCCCTCAGGCCGCGCCCGCCCCTGCCCCTGGACGCCGGCGCACAGACCACAGCGTGCACGACGCCGGCTCTGGGGACGCACAAGGCGCGCACTCAAGCAGCCTCGGCGTCCCGCTTCATGGCCGCTCCCTTCGTGCGGGTTTGCCGCGCCGCGAGGGCCGCTGGTCGTCGTCGTCGTCGTCGTGGTCGTGGTCGTGGTCGTGGTCGTCGTCGTCGTCGTCGTCGTCGTCGTCGTCGTCGTCGTCGTCGTCGTGGTCGTGGTCGTTGTCGTGGTCGTCGTCGTCGTCGGTTTCGTCGGCATCGGCGGCCGCGGTGGCCTCGCCCGTCGGGAGCGGGGGACTCCCCTGAGATCCGAGGCCAAAAGGGAAGAAGGCAACGAACGGTAGGTTGGCAGAACTGGTTTTAGTGGGACCTGGTTCAGTGATGTGCACTGGGGGACGCCCCCCCCGCCCCGTTCCTCTGACCAGAACTATCGTTACCTGAAAAAAAAACAGTTGCGGCAGACCTGGTTTAGAAATTCTGGCTAATTGAGGGGCTCCGGGGCCCTACCACTAACCGGGTCCCCTTGCCTGGGGTCCTGGCTAGTCTGATTTTTGCATTGTCGGTCAAAATTAAACCGCATGCCAGGCCGACGGCCGCAGACGCAGACCAACGTGGACGCGCAGACAAGCAGGCACATGTACAACCCGACGGTCAAACAGACAGACAGCGATTATGGCATGGTAAATGCCGATGGCGATGATGACATGACCCAAGTGATGGCGAGGGTTGCTTTTGCAGCGCGCACGGCAGCCTAGGATCACACGTGCTGGAACGAGGGAAAGTAGCACGAGCGACAAGAGTGGGCATGCACACGCATGCTACCTCCCTGAAGGGAAAAGGAGGAGCGAGGATGGGGCAGAGGGGAGGAGCGAGGAGGGGGAGGAGAAGAAGAGGGGTGCAGAGAGAGGGGGAGGGAGAGGAGGAGCGAGGATGAAGCAGGGAGGAGAAGAATAAAGCAGGGCGGAGGAGGAAGAGGAGAGGGGTAAGGAGGAGCGCCAGGTCGCAGAGCCGCAGGAGGAGCACCAGGCTGGAGAGGACCATCTTACACCAGCACACTCCCGCCCATCCTACACCCTCCACTCTTCCTCATCCTCCACGCACACCCTCTTGTCGCCGTGACCCCCATACCAGCTTGCAACGTGATGCAATGCAAAGCACAACACGATTGCAAGTTAAAGCAATGACAAAGCAATGTGATGCAGAGCGTTGCAAACCAATGCAATGCAATGCAACGCAAAGCAACATAATGCAAATATATTCGAAACAAAGCAAAGCAACGCATAGCAACGCAATGGCACTGCGAAGCAGAGCATAGCAACGCAATGCAAAGCAATGCAAAGCAATGCCAAGCAAGGGGGCCACGAGGCTGTAGACGGCGACGGCGCGGCGACGGTGCGGCGACGACGACGGCGCGGCGGTGGCAACCACAAGGTGTCGGACCCGACGCGCAGGCCCAAACGACGGGCGGCAACGAGGCGGCGACCGATGGTGGCAACGGCGACGACATAGCCGCCAGACTGCCAGACGGCCCGAGACGACGGGCGGCAACGAGGCGGCAACGGAGCGGCGACGGCGACGACATAGCGGCTGGACAGCCTGAGGGCCCACTTATGACAATCCAAAATACCAAACAATCCGTGCACACAAGAATATCTGGAGAGTTTTGAAAACATCCCAACCATTCTGTTTGGGCACTCGTTTTGAAAAAGACAGCGCCCCACGCACCCCCATCCCTGCCAGCCCTGCCTCTGCCCTCCGCATGTCTCTGTTTCGGCGCGCCCCTCACACGCTTCGTGGCCACAAAGGGAGCCCGAAAACCGTACGGCAGCGTCCGCATGGCGTACGTGTGTCCAATTCGGCACACCCATCACGCGTTTCGTGGCCTCGGGTGGAGCTTCACCGAAGACCCCTGCGGCAGCGTCCGCATGGCGTACCCGCGCCCATATTGGGCACACCCCTCAGACGCCTCGTGGCCCCATGTGGAAGCCAGCCGAAGGACCCGGCGCAAACGCCCGCATGGCGCACCCGCACCCAACTCGGCACACCCCTCACACGAATCGTGGTTCCACAGGGAACTCCTAGCTCCTAGCAGCAGCGTCCGCACATGCACCCGTACACAAGTCAACACTCCCCTCAATCGTGTCATGGCCCCGCATGAAGCTCCACCGCAGGCCACAGCAGCAACGCCCGCACGCGGCTCCCGCACCCAATCCGGCACCCCGCACTCATGCGTTTCGTGGCCCCACATGGAACTCAATCGGAAGCCCCTGCGGCAGCACCCCGCATGGCGCACCCCCATCCGATCCGGCACACCCTTCACGCGTTTCGTGGCCCCACATCGAACTCCACCGACGGCCCTACGGCAGCGTCCGCATGGCGCGCCAGCACCAAATTCGGCTCACCTCTTCACACGCTTCGTGGCCCCACATGGAAGTCGTCAACACAAGGCGTGGAAACAACGCGCTCAAGGAAAAATGTCGGTGGCGCCCAGGGGGCATCATCATTCTTAATCAAGAATGTGGCCCACGCGCAAGCCAGCGAGACAAACGCGTCGCCATTATGCAAGTGCCACGCCCATTCCAGGCGGGCCGGGCTCGGCGTCACCGAAGTTTGGGTTATTATTCTAAGTGGGTAGTCCACGTTTGAAAGGGGGAGGACCGATGGGGGCGACAAGAGATCCGGAAGTGAAAAGCGGCTGCCGCGGCCCCCACCCTGGAGACTGCGAGCGTCGTGGGCCAGACCGCCTTCTCAGCCCGCTCCTTCCCGCTTCTTCAACGACGCCGTCACCGCGGCACGCCGCTCGCGCGCGCGCAGTGGCCGGGAGGCGCGGAGCCTCCATGAGGTCCTCCTCGGTCGAGCCCCCCCCCCCAGACGCCCGCCCCCGCCCGCGGCGGCAGGGCGGGGGCCCCCGACAGGAAGGAGGGGGCCCCCCACCGTGGCGGGGTCCATTGGCACCCCTGCCGCAGCTCAGAGACCCCCCTGCACGGGGGGCGCCGCCGAGCCCCGCCCTGGGCGCGACCCGAGCCGAACTGTCGACGGGCCCTGATGAGCAATGATGTGTTCCAAGCGGCCACGCGCTGCAACTGCAACGCGGTGCGCGGCGGGCTCCGCCTTCCGAACCGCTCATAGGCTGTCGCCTCCTCGCCTGCGCCCTCTCCTGCCGGGGCGCCGTTGCAACCGCTTCGCGTCCGACGGTGCGACCTCGCCCGCGGCGCGCCCGGCGGGATTGACACCGCGACGTCGATCGACTCGCGGTGATCTTCGGAGGCCAGCGTCGCCTCGTCGTCGAGCGCGTAATCCTTCAGGCCCGCGGCCGCCATGGTGATCCCAAAAAACTCTTCGAAGTCCGTCGTCTTCGCGCTGCCGGGGGTCGTCCGCCTCATGGCCCCTCTCGCGCGGTAGTCGTTCCAGGCCCCCCGCCACCTTGAATGGGCGCCGTTCTTCCGAGATCTCGGCGATGAGTACCGCCGAAGACAGATTGTCCGTCGGCCCCGCCATGTCGAGTTCCGCCCGCAGGTTGAACCGCCGCGGCCTTGGGAACGGCTTCCCGCCGACGAGCGTGCCGAGGAGCTCCAGCGCCGCGAGGGACCTGCTCGGGTCGCCCGCCTCGCCCGCGCCATGGGGGGTCCACTCCCTTTCAACTGCCCGCCAGCGCCGACGAGATCTTCGCGCGCTGCCGCCCAGCGGCGCTTCCCAATCGCCTGGCTCCAAGGGCGGCTCCTCCCAGACAAGGACCACTGCCGCGGGGGCCGGGCGCTCCACGCCCGCTGCCTTGTCGCCCCCGCGGGCGGTCTCCCAGCACCTTGCCGCTGCCGCAGCCGCCCCCGCCCCCGATAGACCCGCGGCATGAGTGGTGCAGTCGACGTGGAGGCCGATCCCGCTCACTTCGAAGCCGCCCCGCACCTTGGCCCTCTGCGCCGGGGAAGTCGAAAAGACGCCGAGACAAGTCGACGTCACAACGCACTGGGGCATGTCTCGATGCATCGTGAGCGTGAGCTGCCTCGACTCGATCACCTCCAGTTCGTCGGTGTCAGCAGCGAGGTGTTCAACGGGCCAGTCGCTGCCACGCGGCCGGGAGATCACCGGCAGCCCCGCTCCGAACATCTTATTTACCCATTCTGGAGCGCCGATGATGAAGAAGAAGGCGTCGACGCTGTTGCCGTGAATCTCGCCATCGGACAAGGCGGCCAGCAGACCCCGCCTATTCCCACGCGAGCCGCTGCTCTGCACGCGCGGCTGAAGATGGGCCACGCGCCAACGTGCGGGCGGGGATCCTGTCCCGAAGGATCGCGTGGAGCTCCGCCGCTGCTCGCGCCTGCGTCCACCTCCTTGACGGGGGTCCCATGGCTGACCTTCGCTGGCACCGCCACTGTCGAACAGTGGGTCGCGCTGCGCAGTGGGTGGCGACGCAACACTGCGAGCGCGGTTCCTGTCGGAGTTTGTGCTGGCACTGTGGGCCATTACACGACTCTGGCCGTCCACATGGGGGGGTCCAGGGGCGTCTTGACGTCATCTCGTTGCGATGTTCCAAGCCGCCTGGAAAGAACGTGGAACCTCTGGGACGCCTCTTGCTTCTTCTAGGAGCTGTCTTGGGCCGTCTTGAGGCTTTCCTGGGTGCCCAGTTGGCCGTATTGGGGGGGGGGTGAAGGCGTCGCGGGCCGCCTCAAGGCGCCGGAAGCCTTAAAGGGCGACAGCGATAAAATCAACCTTGCAGCGTCGGAAGCCAAAGAAAACCGAAAAGGCGGCAATGATTTGTCCGACGGTCGGACCTTTTCACGTCGACCCGCTTAGCTTGCCCTTGGCCTTTGTTCTCGCCGTGCCGGAAACCTTCCTCCCGCATTCAGTTGCGCCTCCTCATGTTCCTCCTCGTTTTCCTCCTCCGCCTCCTCCTTTTCCTCCTCCTCCTCCTCCTCCTCCTCCTCCTCCTCCCTCCTCCTTCTCCTCCTTTTCCTCCTTCTCCTCCTCCTCCTCCTCCTCCTCCTCCTCCTCCTCCTCCCCTCCTCCTCCTCCTCCTCCTCCCTCCTCCTCCTCCCTCCTCCTCCTCCTCCTCCCTCCTCCCTCCTCCTCCTCCCTCCTCCTCCTCCTCCTCCTCCTCTCCTCCTCCTCCTCCTCCTCCTCCTCCTCCTCCTCCTCCTCCTCCTCCTCCTCCTCCTCCTCCTCCTCCTCCTCCTCCTCCTCCTCCTCCTCCCTCCTCCTCCTCCTCCTCCTCCTCCGCCTCCTCCTCCTTATCCCCATATTCCTCCTCATCGTCCTTCTTTTCCGCCGTCCCCTCCTCCTTCTCATCCTCCTCGTTGTATTGATTGTGCTCCTCATCCTCCACCTCCTCCTCATCCTCTACTCCTCCTCCTCCCCCTCCCCCTTTTCCTATTCCTCCTCTACCTTTTCCTCCTTCCCCCTCTCCTCATCTCGATTCCGCCGATTATCCTCATACACCTCCCCTGCCTCCTGGCTGGGGCAAATCGATGTTCTTCGGCTCCTTCGCCGCCAACATGCGCGCATTCCCCGATGGCCGGATCGCGAAGCCGTTGGGGCAACCCCACGGCCCACGCCGTTGGGACAACCGCGTGGGCCGCTGGGGCGCGGGAGCAAGCCGTCGGGACAACCCCGCAGCAACGCCCAGGCGGGAAGCAGCGCGAAGCCCACTCTGCCGCGAACTGCTCCGCCTAAGCCCTGGAGTTCGTAGCCCCCTGCTGCTCTGTTACTGTCTGCAGGTATCTGCTACTCTCTGCTGCTGTCCGCTGGGCTGGGCTTGTCTCTGCTTGTCTTTGCCGCTCCCTGATGGCCTCTGCTGCTCTCTGTAAGCGCTGCTGCTCACCTGATGCTTGCAGGTAGTTGCTGCTCTGTGCGTGTCTCTGCTGCTCTCTGCTACTGGACAGTACCCTCTACTGGTTTATGCTACTCTCATCTGCTGTCTGCTGCCCTCTGCTGGTTTTTGCCCCTCTCAGCTGTACTCTGCTACTTTCTGCTCTGTGCTGCCCCTCTCTGCTGCTGCCTGGTCTGTGCTGTTCTCTGCTGGTCTCTGCTGCTCTCTGTTCTTCTCTGGTGTTATCTGCTGCTGTCTGCTGGTCTCTGCTGGTCTCTGCTGCTGTCTGCTGCTCGCTGCTGATTTCTGCTAGTATATGATGGTGACTGCAGGCAGTTGCTGGTGTCTGCGTGTCTCTGCTGCTCTCAGCTGCAAGGAACTACTCTCTACTGGTCTCTGATACTCTCGTCTGCTCACTGCTGCTGCCTGCTGATATCTGCTGGTCTCTGCTTGTCTCTGCTGCTCTCTGCTGTTGTCTGCATCTGTCTGCTGCTCTCTGCTGCTCTCCGTCGTCTTCTGCTGCTCTATGCTGCTCTCGTGTGGTCTGTGCTGCTCTCTGCCGTTCTATGCTGTTCTCTGCCGCTCTCTGCTGTGCCCTGCAGCTCTCTGCTGTTCTCTGCTGCCCTCTGCCGCTCGCTGCAGCTTTGTCCGTGCTGTTCTCTGCTGGTCTCTGCGGGTCTCTGCTGCTCTCTGGTGTTGTCTGCTGATGGTTGCTGGTCTCTGCTGGTCTGTGCTGCTCTCAGCCGTTCTCTGCTGTTCCCTGCTGTTCCACAGCGTGCTCTGGTCGCTGCTGCTCTCTGCTGGTCTGGCTGCCCTCTGCTGCTTTCTGGTGCTCGTTGCTGCTCTCGGCTGCTCGCTGCCGCTCTCTGTTTTTCTCTGCTGCTGCCTGCCGCTCTCTGCTGGTTCTTGCTGGTCTCTGCTGGCCTTTGCCGCTATCAGTTGCTCTTTGTCAGTCCCTGCGGGTGACTGCAGGCAAATGCTGCTCTCTGCGGGTCTCTGCTGCTCTCTGCCGCTGCACGCGAATGCCTGCTCGTCTCAGCTGCTCTCATCCGCTCTCTGCTGCCCTCTGATCTGATGTTTTCTGATATCTGCTACTCTCTCCTGTCGTCTGCTCCTGCCTGCTGCTCTCTGCTGGTCTCCGCTGGTCTCTGCGGCTCGCCGCCGCTCTCTGCTGCCCTCTGGCAGTCTCTGCTGCGCTCTGCTGCTGTGCGCTGCTGGATGCTGCTCCCTGCTGCTCGCCGCTGCTCTCTGCTGCCCCCTGCCGGTCGCTGCTGCTCCGTGCCGCCCTTGGGCGCTGCCTGCTGCTGCCTGCCGGCCTCTGCTGCTCGCTGCGGGCCTCCGCTGTCTTTGCTCGCTGGCCTCTGCTGGCCGATGCTGGCCTCCGCCGCTCGTGTCTGCTCTCCGCTGCTCTCCGGTGGAGCATTCCGATGGGCCCGCGCGGGGTACCAGCGCGAAGTGCTGGGCCCACAGGGAGGGGGCTCCTGCCTGAGGCTTCCTCGCGATTCACTCGCAGGCGAGGCCCGCCTGAGACATCCTCACGGTGCATCTCCCTGGGGTGGTCCGGGTGCTCTGCCTGGTGGGATGTTCCGATGGCCCGTTCGGATTGCCAGCATGAAGTGCGGGCCCCATGAGAAAGGGGCTCCCGCCTGAGACTTCCTCGCAATTCATTCACGGACGACGCTCCTGCGTGAGACATCCTCTCGGTGTGCCTCCTTGGGGGTGATCAAGTGCTATGCCTGGTCGGATAGTCCAACGACCCTCTCGGATTACCGTCATGAAGTGCGGGCCCCATTGGGAGGGTGGGGCGATTGAGGCATCCTCACGGTTTGCCCCCTTGGGGTGCTCGAATGCTCTGCCTGGTGGGATAGTCCGATGACCCACTCGGTTTACCAACATGAACTGCGGCCCCATAGGGAGGGGGCTCCCGAAAGAAAATTCCTCGCTACCCACTTACAGACAAGGCATGCGCTCGAGTGATCATCAAGATAAGTGTGTGTGTGTGTGCGTGAATGAAAGAACGAATGAATGAATGAATGAATGAATGAATGAATGAATGAATGAATGACTGAGTGCTGGTGGTAATGCTGACGATGATGATGATGATGATGATGATGATGATGATGATGATGATGATGATGATGATGATGATGATGATGATGAGTGCTCTGAATTCGAATGATGAGTACGGTGTAGTGATGATGATGGTGATGGTGGTGATGGAGATGAGGATGAGGATGGTGATGGTGATGGTGATGGTGATGATGATGACGATGATGATGAGTGTTATGAATTAGAGTGACGAGTACGGTGTAGTGATGATGATGGTGATGGTGATGGTGGTGATGGTGATGGTGATGATGAGGATGATGAGAATGAGTATGATTATGATGACGCTCATGCTGATGCTGATGCTGATGCTGATGCTGATGCTGATGGTGATGATGTTGATGATGATTATGATGGCCGAAGGTCATGGCGTTGTAAGGATGACGATGTTGACAGTGACAAGTCTGCTGGCGATGGCGATGATGATTACAACGGTGATGGAAACGACAGACGGGTGTTCATGAGTATGACGATGGGGATGATGCTGATGAGGATGATTAATGGTGACGCCGAGTGTGAAAAGAAGAGAGGAGGACAGAAGGGGGTGAGGCGTGAGGTGCTGGGGCGGGGGCGGAGAAAACAAGGGCCCCAGGGAATAAAACCATGCACGTCGCATCCGTGAACACTCAGAGGGCTATCTGAGGGCTTCTCAGGGCGACCTGGGGGATCCTCTGGCGGCAGTATGGGTCCACAGCCGACTCGGGAAGCTTCCCGGGGGAGTCTGGAGACGTCTTGCGATTCTCTTAGAGCGTTTCTGGGCCGCCCGGGAAAGATGCAGGACCCGAAGTAGCATCCTGTGGCCTGGGACAGCCCTGTTCGCGGTCGTGGTGCCGGCCTGGGGGTTCCCAGGGGCAAGTCCCCAGTTATGTGCATCTGATGATGCGCCTCCTGAAGAGGCACACGAGCAAAAGAAAAAGGAATAGAACGAGCTGGCAGAGTGTCGTATTGGGCATGTCGAGGCTTCAGAGGAAAGGGAGAACCAGGCCCGGAACGCGACCGGAGCAGGTGGGACTGGGCCATCGAGCCTCAGTGGAAGCTCGCCATTGCGACAGAGCTCGGAGCCGAACTCGGTGCTGCACGCGTCGGTGCGGCACGACGCGCAAGGGACAATTGTTTGCCGCACTCTGCCGCGGGCGTCGCAGCCTCCGTGTGATCGTCCTCTCCCAGCAGGCCCCCGACAGCAAACCCAGCCTTCCCAAGGTGCTTGGCGTAGAAGTTCAAGTACGGGACGCCCTGGTCCGTGCGCCCGCGGACGACCTTGAGCTCCAGCGGACCGAACTTCGTCCACCCCGCGCCCGCCTCGTGCGCCGTCTTGGCATCGAAGGTGAGACCGCCAGCGTGCGCCTCGTCCGCCCACGCCCCTGTGATGTTCAACCTTCGGAAATACATGTCCGCGCACTGCGCACCCATTCGGCGCACGTCGGCCTCCGCGACGAGCAGCGCGTCCTCCACAGGTTTTCCTGGAGGAGCAAAAAGCAACACAACCGCAAACTTTCGAAGCTCCGCGCGGCTTCTCTTCTTTGGATCGGCGCTGGGCCCCCCTGGCCGCGCCTACAGCGCCGCCCCCGGCGCGCTCTGCGCACCAGGGAGGGGGTTCCAGCGCCGATCCAGGAAACCCGGGCGGAACTGCAAAGGCTTATGCGTTTTCTTCTGCGGTCTCCACGTGGGATATTGATGAGCAAGACTTTGCCCTGCTCGGCGACTCCGAAGGGTGTGGTTTGCAAAGGGCGTGGTTTGCAACCTGCACCCTGGGGGGCGGGCGAGGACCTCGACGGGGCTCTCCGCCGCGCCCCGAGGAGGCCCGACGAAGACAATGTCGTACTCCCCAGGCCCTGACGGTGCCGATCGCAAACCATACCCCGGCGTAACCGTACCCTTTGTAGTCGCCGACCTGCCGCATCAGGTCAAATCGCTCACCGTAGACGTTCGTCAAATGCGGATCGCCAAATGCGGAAACCTGCGGGGGCGCCGTCGGGATCGGCGTGGGGCTGTCCGCTGGGCTGGCCCGTGAGAGCGCCCCGAAGCGTGCGGAGGCCCCTGGGACGGGGTCTTGAAACCCTCCTGGGTCGTCCTCGCACGCTCTGGGGCTGTGTCGGAGCCCTTCTGGACCATCCTGGGGGCCTCCCGGAGCCCTCAGGGCCAAAGGGGGTCGCCTTGGGGGCGTCGGGGGTGCGTCTGGAGCTATCTCGGAGCAAAACTCGGAGCCTCTTGAACCGCCTTGGAAAAAACAACCGAAGGGATGCGGTGGGTCTTGCTTCTCGGGGCCCCTCTGGGGGGCCCTCTGGGGGCGCCGTGAGGCGTCTTGAAGACCCCTGGACCCTGGAGCCGACTTGAAGCCATTCGGGGCCGTCTGGGATAGCCAGGGCAGCAGCTTCCAGGCGGATTGCACATCTCCATGCAAGGCGAATATCGAATCAGCGTGAACGTCCTCAACCCTTCTACAATCGACATCCCGAAACATCCCGTGCACTACTGGCACTCGCGGACCCGGGAACCCGCTCCACGACTGCAGCTGAGGCCTCGTCATCGCTCGCTGTTTTGCGAGGGGGTCGGCTTCTGGCGCGTGCTTGGCCGAACGGAATGAGCAAGGACTGCCTGTCTTGGAACTCCATGTCTGTATGCAGCTGTCACGTGGGGGGGGCCGACCTCAGACCAACAGAGAGCACAACACACCACCTGCGGGCGGGCGCAGGGCCGAGACGGGGGCCCCTGGGCAGGAGGGGAAAGGAGCACCGCGGCCAGTACTGAAACGCCAGTGGGGGGTGGCAACCTGGGGCGGAAGCCTCTGGGGGAGGCCCCATGGGGGGAGACCTGGGCTGGTGAGCGTTCTCTCGGACCCGGCGTTTCCACAGTGGGCGGAGAGGGGGGGGGGCGAGGGGGGGGATGTCTGGCTCCGAGCCTCTGCTTCACGCGACGGCTTGCAGCAGTGCGTCCCGCGGGGGAGACTCCACCTGCTGGAAACCGGCGCCAATGATCCTGGCGACGGACCCAACCATATACAGTTGTAGGTAGGGCAATTGTGAATATTTTCTTCGGTGGAGCTCCCTGTGGGGCCACGGAGCGCTGCGCTGGGTGGGGGGGAACGCATGCGGGCGGTAGAACTGGGGCCGTCGGGCGAACTCCCTATGGGGCCAAGAAACGCCGTACCGGGTGGGGAGAAAATGCAAAACCGGGCGTGTGGGACGCATGCGGGCGGTCCCAGTGGTGGCTTCGGTGGAGCTCTCTATGGGGCCACGAAACGTATGAGGGGTGTGCCACATTTGGTTTCCGGGACGCATGCGGACGGTCCCACTGGGGGCTTCGGTTGAGCTCCCGATGGGGCCACGAAGCGCTGAACTGGGTGCGTGAAAATGTCAAATTGGGTTTCCGAGACGCATGCGGACGGTCCCACTGGGGGCTTCGGTGGAGCTCTCCACGGGGTCACGAAACGCCGTAGTGGGTGGTGTGAAAATACCGAAATTGTGCTTCAGGGACGCATGCGGACAGTCCCACTGGGGGCTTCGATGGGGCTCTCTATGGGGGTGGGGTGAAAATGCCAAATCAGATTTCCGGGACGCATGCGGACAGTCTCAGGGGCTTCGGTGGGGCTCTCTATGGGGCCACGAAACGCTGTACAGGGGGGGGGGCGGGACGCATGCAGACGGTAGCACTGGGACCTTCGGCGGGGCTCCCTGCGGGGCCACGAAACGCTGTACTGGGTGGGGGGGACGCATGCGGACGGTAGCACTGGGACCTTCAGCGGGGCTCCCTGCGGGGCCACGAAACGCTGTACTGGGCGTGGGGGACGCATGCGGACGGTAGCACTGGGACCTTCGGTGGGGCTCCCTATGGGGCCACGAAGCGCTGTACAGGGTGTGGGGGACGCATGCGGACGGTAGCACTGTGACCTTCGGTGGGGCTCCCTATGGGGCCACGAAGCGCTGTACTGGGTGGGGGGCACGCATGCGGACGGTAGCACTGGGACCTTCGGTGGGGCTCCCTTTGGGCCACGCTGTAAACGCTGTAGCTGGGGTGGGGGGGGAAACGCATGCGGACGGTAGCACTGGGACCTTCGGTGGGGCTCCCTATGGGGCCACGAAACGCTGTACTCGTGGGGGGGACGCATGCGGACGGTAGCACTGGGACCTTCGGCGGGGCTCCCTGCGGGGCCACGACACGCTGTACTGGGTGGGGGGGACGCATGCGGACGGTAGCACTGGGACCTTCGGTGGGGCTCCCTCTGGGGCCACGAAACGGTGTACTGGGCGGTGGGGGACGCATGCGGACGGTAGCACTGGGACCTTCGGTGGGGCTCCCTATGGGGCCACGAAACGCTGTACTGGGTGGTGGGGGACGCATGCGGACGGTAGCACTGTGACCTTCGGTGGGGCTCCCTTTTGGGCCACGAAACGCTGTACTGGGTGGGGGGCACGCATGCGGACGGTAGCACTGGGACCTTCGGTGAGGCTCCCTATGGGGCCACGAAGCGCTGTACAGGGTGGGGGGGCGCATGCGGACGGTAGCACTGGGACCTTCGGTGGGGCTCCCCATGGGGCCACGAAACGTGTGAGGGGTATGCTGAAACGGGTGATTATGATGATGATGATGATGATGATGATGATGATGATGATGATGATGATGATGATGATGATGATGATGATGATGATGATGATGATGATGATGATGATGATGATGATGATGATGATGATGATGATGATGATGATGATGATGATGGTGATGGTGATGGTGATGGTGATGGTGATGGTGATGGTGATGGTGATGGCGATGGAGGAGGGAGAAGGGGGGGAGGAGAGGAGAGGAGGAGGAGAACGCAGGGCGACGTCTCTTCAAAACGAGGACCCGACATCACAGGATGTTTGGGAAAAACAACCAAGATCTACTCCATGGGGGGAAGGGAGGGGGGCGAGGGCCCGCGATCGGCAAAGCAATGGATGAGAAAACGATCTGTTGGTCGAAGACGGGAACCCATGGGCAGGGAGGGGGGCACTAGCATAGCACGCGGCTGAGGCCCCCGGGCCTCAAGGGATCTCCCACGCTCAGGGCCACGCCCCTGGTAAAGTACGCTGCGCCAGCGCTCCCAAATCCAGGATCCTTGGTAGATTGCGCAGCGTCGGCGCGCCGAGGGAAGCGCCGCGATTCCTTGTAAAATGCATCAATATGGCCTCCGACACACATCCACGAGGCCTCAAGACGGCCCCAAGACGATTCGCAATGTCCTTCGAGCCCTCCATGGACCTCCCCAGGATGCCCAAATAGCTCCAAAACCCAAGAGAAATCAATGATGGTCGCGTTCTCGCCTTTTCGTCCCCGATGGGCTTCGGAGGCCTCAGGATGGCCCCAAGACGGCCGCAGCAGGCTCCCAGGGGGCCCCCGGAGGGCCCCCTGGGCGCCTCCAAGAGAAACTTAAAACACAATTTTAAGCCTCCCGGAAAAGCGGGGGGGAAGGAAAAGTGGGGGAAGGGGGTCGCAAATATGTCATACCCCCTTCCTTCGTGAGCCACGGGGGCCACGACGGCCCCAACAGGCCCTCCCAGACCCCACCAAAAAGACCCCAAGAGAGCCCTTAGACCCCCCAAGCAGCCCCAAGAGGGCCCCAACAGCGCCGAAAGAGGCCCCACGGGGACTCCAAGAAACCCCGAGATGATTCCAAAAGGGCCCCCCGAAAACTGAAGCCGCCGTGTTGGGGGAAACTTTTCTAAGTGGTTCGGCACATGTCCTCGCCGTTTCGGCGACCCCGAAACGCTTCCAAAGCGGCTGTATCACTGCATGCGGCATGGGAGCGTGCGTTCAATCATCCATTTAATATTCCCACCGTTTCTGTCACCCCCGCAAGCTTCCAAAGCCACCATGCCACCGCATGACTCTACACCGCCCTGATTCGAGCAACTCCCCTGGCAACTGTTTGTGGATGGACTGGTAGGAGTACACGAAACGTGGATAATGACGCTGCATCGGCGCTACCAAATCCAGAACTCTCAATAAATTACGCAGCGTCGGCGCGCCCAGGGTCGCGCCACGATCCCTCGTACATTGCGTTGCGCTCGCGTTCCCAAGGCCACGAACCCCTGCAACTTACACGCGGTTCCCGTCATTTGCACGGGGCGCGCCATCCCCGAGTGGGCACGCGACAAGAAAACATCTTCGGACAATCAAAAAAACCGTTCTAAAAGGGAAGCGATGACACGTGTCAAAGAGAAGCGCCGTCACTGCTTTGAACGCTTCAAAGCAGCCCCCTGGCCCTGTTTCGAACGCTTCCCAGCTGGCACTGCTCACAGGGTTTTGCACATGCAACGTCGGAAGCAGCAGCACTCGCCCAGCACTATTCGCCACTGCGGCCATCAACGCCATGCTGCAACTGCCCACAACTGCGGCCACCACCACTGCCGCGCACCCAAACTCCATGACGCGCGGGGGGCACACCACCTCCATTCCCATCGGCTTCCACTGCCCACCCGCGCGCGCGGGCTCGGGAAGCGGGCCCCCCGCAGCACTGCCCGCCATGGCGACGCGACCATTGCGCCACCGCTGCCAACTATCAGCGCGCCCTCCCCGCTCGAAACCATCGCGCCATCTCCGCTCGGAATCATCGCGCGCCGCTGGCGCCGCGGGGCCCGGCCGCCGCCGCGGCATAAGTGGCCCCGCCGTCGCCGTTGGCAGCCTGAGCGGCCGCAAATCAAAGTTCGCTCAACCTCAGCACCTCCCCCCGCAACTGCGGTTCCCCCGTGGGCGCTCGTCTCGGCGCACCTGCCCGCAGCTGCGGTGTTTTTGTCGGCGTCCTTCTTGCCGCCTTTCTCGCTTGCCTCTCGCTCGGTCAGCCGCCCCGCGCTCTCGCGCCCAGCACCCCGTTTCCCGGGTGGCCGGATGCCCTCGTCGACAGCAATTTTTTCGGGTGACCGGCGGCCCGCCCTGCGCCTTGCTGGCGGCGCCGCGCCAGATCCCGCCGCCGAGTTTGGGTCGCCTGACTCTCGAGGGGCGGGGCGCGCCTTTCGCGCGAAGTCCGCAACTGCGCCCGCGGGGGCGCCGGATGGCCCCAGATGGGCGCGCGTCTTCTGCGACGGAGTCAGCCTCGGGGATCTTCTGGCCCGGGTCAATCCAGACCCAGGTCAACAGGAAACCAAAAAACTGCAATGAAGGAAAAACTGCGACGCAGATCTTCGCAAACCCATGTCAGCCAATATGCGCAGCCGCCTCGCGGCCACGAGCGGCTCGCTAACCCAGGTCAGTCAGCGGGGGAATTCGCGGGATCTGGCGCCCTGGCTGACCCCCGCTTGCATTGACCCCTGGCTCGAGGCCCCCGACGGCCCCGGACGCCCGAGCCTCCGGCATCTTCCCAGGGCCATTCGCGCGGCAGACAAGATGAACAGACGGGCCGCGCTGGGCCGCCAGGCGCCCGCTGACGCCGTCGCGCAAGACGCCGGGCCGCGATGGAGCTTGCATTCGCCAGGGCAGCACCCGGACATAATCGCCACGCTGGCCGCCCGCGCGGCGACGCCCACAATGGCGCTGCCATGGCGGCGCCAAGACACCTCAAACACTGGCGCGTCGCAGCGCGGCAGCGGCAGTCCGCGAGCGCGCCCGGGCAACCCGGGCCGCGGCATTGCGAATTGCCCCGCGCGCGGAAAAGAACAGAGACGGTCGCGGACAGCAGAAGCAAATAAACAAGGCGCGCTCATGCGGCGAGGCCGCGGGGGGGTGCCCTGCTTTACTGATGCGGGTGGTCTCCTTTACTTTCCGGGGGGGCCCCTTTACTCTTTGGGTGGCCCCCTTTACTTGTTGGGGGGGCTCTCTTTAATTGTGGGGCGGTTTCCCGTGCTA